GCAGGAGGTGCTGTGGACCCGCTCCATGCTCAAGGACATGGGTCACGAGCAAGTGGGAGCTACCCAAGTATGGGAGGACAACCAGGGCGCGATCGCTCTCGCAAGCAACACTGGCTATAACGCGAGGACTAAGCACGTGGACATCAAGCATCACTTCATCCGCGGGAATGTGTCCCGAGGACTTATCGTCGTCAACTACGTGCCGACGAAGGACCAGCTCGCGGACATGCTCACCAAGGCGTTGGGGAAGAAGAGGCTCAAGTACCTGATCAGCGCAAGCGGAATCGTCGGGACGGTCGTGCAGCATTAGCGGCGAGTGGGAGTGTTCATGAGTCTTCGGGAGCGCCGCCAATAGATGCACATGGACGAGGAGAACGTGTGGACACATCCGCCGATGACTCGGAGGATCCGACGGCAACGGGAGAGCCGGCAGCAGCCGGGCTCTGGATATACCAATGGCTGGTCAGGGAGACCCAAGTATACTGAGATCAAGTCAATCGGAACGCGGGAGTAATCCGTCCGATGAGAGGCACCAACGAGCACAAGGAGAACACGAAGGAAAGAAGGAGGGGGATACTAGAGAGTAGTTTGAGAGACGATAACATTTAATCTCACTTCGGAATTTGCCGCCTCAACCACAAGCTACAAACGAACAGATGGGCCACGGCAGCGCGATCTTGACTTCGTCGACGCCTGCTTTAGGGATACGTGAGCTCGGCGACGAAAGACCCAGAATGAGTTGGATCCCGGCTCGTTCGCTGCTGCTTGGGTGTCTTATCCAGCATCAGTTTCTATCTGTAGTCGACGAGTTGGGATCTTAGTGCCTTCCTTCATTCGAAAAACCGATTATCCACTTGCTCCATTTGCTGCGCTCACGGCGCTGCCAGATATATACCACAGTTTCCAGATAGACACTGTTTCCCTGTTGATGTGCAACAGCTAACATGTAAATAGGGTGGCCAACAGGGGCTGTGAACGCACAACAGGTTAGCCGGGAGAGCAACAGGTATTGATTATTTTCCGATGGGGAGTGTTTGTTGGCCAGTGGTCCGTGAGTCGGGCCACTTCAAGACGTGCGTGCATCTCGCTCACCCCGGAGTCTTCCACATCCGCCTCCACCAACTCACCAGCTAACGGTTCGGTTCGCACCAAGGAGAACCAAGTGGGTGGTGCGCTTCCACTGCCAGAGATCTCGCGACAGCTACCAGGGCTTCGACGCGCCCACTGGAGTCGACAATTCCGACAGTGACGCCTGTCAGAGACTGAAGTTCAACGCGCTGGTGCTTCAGACCACCGTGGACGAGCTGTTCCATCGTGCAGGCTTCTCCCGAAAAACTTTCGCGGTGGAGCTTGACCGCGACGGCTTCCCAGTCGTCGACGTCCTGCGCTCGAAGCACAGTGCTTCGATCAAACAAGCTCGACAAATGACGGACTCGCAGCTATTGGCGCAGCTGAAGACGTTAAGCTTTCGGAGGAGCACAAGAAGGGGGAGTTAGGGACCGATAAATCATCTCAACTGTACCGGATAAAGCACGTCGTGCTTCTTGGAGGCTCACACTTCGATCCAAGGACACACCGATTAACTGACTACCGGGCGCTTGTGGGTGGCAATGTGATCGTAACCAGCAGTTGTGGCCTGTTCACGTGGCCTCGGGGACTGAACGAGCTTACGTCCTGCTGCTTCAACAGTGGTTCGGTCCCGCCAGAGTTTGTCATGGATCAGCGCTCCGTGCGTCAGAGCTACTGGGCCAACTACAGTGGGGGGATCAGCGTCTTGCTGCATCTGATGGGCTTGTCTTTCGGGCTCAAATACCGCTCTGATGGCGTAATGCCCAAGAGGTTTCGACAAGCGACGCGCTTGCTTGCCGTAATGGAGCCTCGGTCAGGGAAGCAGGAGATTCGGCAAGCTTCAGCGTCAAGCGTTCAAGCCTGTTGGAGTTGCTCCGGAGGAGATTTATCTGGACAAGTTATCCATCGGAATGCTTGCTCTCCAGTGCCGGTGGATTAATCCAAACTCCATGAGGAACGTAGCAAAGGAGACCCCCGCTAGTGCGGCTTGAGACTCGGATCTTCGCTCTTGGTGAAGCGAATAGGCTAGTGTTGAGATGACAATTAAAGCAACAACGGTCAACACAATAAAGTGTCCATTTTCTAAGATCCACCAGGATACCAGAACTTGTTTTTCTTTTTAGCGGAGGTACTTTCCGGCCAAAATGGCAATATATTGCAGAAGGTCAACAAAAGAAGCTGACGGGGTATTAGGAAACCAACAGCTGCATTCTCCAACTGAGCGTAGAGGTGGTTGTCGATTTCTTGTCGTGCGTGCTGAGGCGTCCGAAGGTGTCGAGTTCATCGGCTTCAACCAGAACGATCCGTTCTTGATCTTCTTCCTGGCGATGCTGTTGTTTGATCCGAAGTAGACAAGATACGGAATTTAAACTGAGGATGACCGCGGTAGAAGAAGAGAATGGCGTACGAGCAGCCGATCGCGATCCATTCAGTGCAAGTATCGCCCTTATGTAGTAGGTCGAGGATTTACAGACAGAACACCAACGTGGGCGCTGGAACGCCCAAAGCCACCAACATATACTATGATAGTGAAGCTTATGCTCTTCTGTGTGAATCTAAGACGCACTACAAAGTTAACTTTGTAGTAGGTCGAGGATTTACAGACAGAACACCAACGTGGGCGCTGGAACGCCCAAAGCCACCAACATATACTATGATAGTGAAGCTTATGCCCTTCTGTGTGAATCTAAGACCGAGCTCCCCCGAGCCTTGCCTGCCCTGTATAGGGCAGTCCAGGAAGACTGGGGAGTCAGTGAAGCTTGAGGAACTAGGGTAAGGGCCATAGGGCCAAAACCCACTACAGCCTACAGGAGCTTGCTAAGCACATTATGATGTCAGTACGCCGCCCAGTGTCAAGACGAGTCATGGTCGCACTCATCTCCACCCCGACCATCTTAGTCGATACGCAAGTTCGAATGCTTTTGCTACGACAAGATAATCTCAATGTCTCTGTCGCGGGGACGATACTTCTCGCCATCTTCGAGGTTGTCGTCCGAGCTCTCCAAGTCCCTGGTAGTGCTACGTAAAACGCGCAGACCTCTTACAACTAGGCAACAGTCTCGACGGCGGTCCTCGACACCGACAGCTTTAACACCAAATCACCTCATAAAGTCAACGCCCGTGGTCCCAGCGAACGCTACGACATCAACAGACGGAACGAAGAGTGAAATTGGAACTCGGCCGCGTGTTTTATCATTAATGAGTTGTGAATCGCCATCAGAGTTCAAAGCACGGAGGGATGTCGAAGAGCGTCGCCGAAAAGTTCGCGTGCTGCACGCGGGCTAAATCTACGCGGAAATGTATGCGGAGTACATCGCGATTGGCTGTTCGTATGCCATTCTCTTCTTCTACCGGGACCATCCTCAATTCGAATTCAGGCTAGGGTCGGATCATGCCACCACAAAAGAAGCTGACGGGTTTTAGAAAACCAGCAACTGACGTCTCTGACCATTCTTCAGCTGAGCGTGGAGGTGGTTGTCCTTCCTGGCGATGCTGACGTTCTCCAATATTGCCATTTCAGCCGGAATGTACCTCCGCTAAAACAAAAACAAGTTCTGGCAGCTCTCTCTACTGTGTACACGGTAGATCTTACAAAATAGGGTTTTAGTTAATCATTCCTTGAAGCAATGAGCCCAAGAGAAATTGGCCGAAATCAAGGAATCGAACACGATAGCGATCAGCACGAAGCGCGAAGACAATGACGGGGAGATCTTGACCGTTACCGTTGAAGTGTTTGTCGGGACGGTTGGGTCCAAAAACGTTTGGAATGAGGGTGTTCATCGACCGGATGCAGCGTGCTGGGGTGTTTTCAGCGTTCAGACGTAGCGGAGCTTTTGCTTGTGAGTGAGTTTTAGTCGATTTATCAGTTTGAAAAAGTCAGCATGCCCAAGAAGAATATCATGAATATGATTGAAAGGATGAAATGAGATGTACCATATTCACAGGTTCTGGACACCCAGTGTCTATGCATCACTCAATCGCAGACTAAAACCAAACGACTACGCGTTGTAATAAGGTTGGTTGGTATCGCTGAGTCTCTACTGACGTCGTCGGACCCGGTTCTTAGGTAATGAGTGCCAAGGCACGAAATTGCGCTTAACAGGCTTTCACCGCCGCCAAATTTTAGAATTCGACGCACAGCCTTCTTTGATCTCCTTGCCCTCAGACTTGCGCAACGTCGGCGGTCGTGCCGTCCTTTAAAACACTTTCATCAGAGCAGCCTGGATCTCGCAATATGCGGTTGGTCACCGCGTAGTTCGCGTAGTTCATCCAGAGATGGCGGGGAGCCGGCAATGTGCGGATTCTAGTGTGGAAAGTAGAAACGATTCTAATTCAGAGCACTCCGAATCGGAGTGTCCGATTATAACTTACCTTGTCGTCGACGTGGTGTACTTAAGTAATCAACTTGCGAGTTGCAGCTTGAAGCGGGAGGATACTCAGCCGATTTCGATCCCCAACCAAAAAGGGATCGCCGAGTCCAGCGCCACAAACCAAGTCAAGACCGCTGATGTAGGAAAGCTGCGACGCAAACTGACACTTGGGAACCAATCACTCCAGTTGGAGCTGACGGCGAAGATCCGGGTTCTTACTTCAACTGGAGCCCATTCCACGCGAGCGAATCGACGTCTTAGAAGCCAAACTGCAGAAAGCGGAGGAGCAACTTGCGGCAACGAAGTGCAGTCTAGCGAGGGAAAAAGAGGCTACCGCGAAACTGGAAGCTGAACTTGGCCGCATCGTCAGCAATTGAGCAAGAGAAGAAGCCGACCCAGACAGCCGCCGGCAGGGTCACACTTATCTCTACTAGGGTGGTGCACTTGAGCGACAAGGGGCAAATTGGTTGGCAAGTTGCTATCGGCGACGGTACCGAGGTTGAGGTGGCCGATCACTATGGGATTCGCTTTCTGGTGGGAGGGTGGTTCGAGGTAGCATCTTCAGTCTCCTGGCAAGTAGTCCAGGGCGCCCTTGAATATCTACAAAGGTACCGGAAACGCAGCACAATTTACAGTTAGTAACGCTGTAGAATTAAAAAAAAAAAGAATGAATGTTACCTTCACGTAGTCATTGACGGAGGCGTTTGGGATTGTGTTGGTGCGTGTCAGGTACTCGTTCTGCTCGAGAAACCCAGTGGCCCTAGCTCGAAAGTAACGATACGATTAGTGGATCAACTTCAGGTTAGCAACGAAAGAGGTTACCGTCTTGAATCCAACCGCACCACTGCATCTTGCTCTTGCAGTCTTCAAGCATTAGCTGGACCTTGTCGGCGGTAACTGTGATCAGGAAGCGGTAACGGGGAGCTGGCGGCAGTGCGAAGGCGGTCATGCCAGCCTCTGTCGTCTCCATGGTGACTTGCTCTGTCCGCTGCAAATTGACGAATGACGCTAGAATTCCAGTTGTCGAATGGCTACGAGTGCACAACAGGCTACGAAATGAATCATTACGTAAGGAAAAAATAAAAAAATAAACTCTAACAACCTGTTGACCTGCTGTCTAAAGGACGACAATAAAAGAACCCAAAGGATGGTTTTGCCACCATGGAGATCCCTCGTAAGAATATCCTTACTAATCCTTACTAATTTGAGCTCACGTGGGTTGATGTGTCTGCGATATTGACTTTCCATTTCACAATGAATTACAGATCAGTACAAGATGCCATCGTCTCGTGACCAAGGACAGGCATTGACGGTATCGGCCGAGTGCGATAACTTGCATGTATCGTTGTTTTTGAGATTTGCTAGTCAAACGTGAAACTTGGGGTGAGCTGAGATCTACTCAAGTGGCGGTACTTCGCCACCTCTGCCCACTGACATCCTAGTTGTCATAGTTCGGGTCGTACGTGTTGGTGCCGTTGGCGTAGAAGTAGACGATCTGTCCGTCGTCGCTGCCGCCGTTCTTGCGCAGGTGGCGCACTCGCCGCTGCTGCTGGTCGGTCGTGCCGGTGACGGTCTCCGTCTCGAGCCCGAACTTGTCGATCCAGAACTGGATCTCGTGGTCGATGTTGGAGTTGTCGGTGGCGCCGCTAAAGATGGGGCGCATGTAGAGCGTGTCGGTGGTGACGGTGCTCTCGTCCACGATGGTGGTGCGCACGCAGGTTCCCTGCTGCCAGAGCGAGAGGCTCATCTTGCCCCACTGGTGCTTGTCGCCGGGCGCGATGCTGACATATCCTTCGCTGATGAGGTTGTCGTTGATGCCCTGGGCGACGGCGATGCCGAAGCCGGAGACGGCGCCAGTGACGGAGGCCACGGTGCCGACAGTGCCGGCAGCAGCAGCGGCTGCCGTTGCTAGGGCGCTTGTGGACACCCCGAAGACGGACACGATTCCGTTGGCAGCGAGGGCTGACGCGACGGGCGCAGCTGCTCCGGCCGTTCCGATGACGGTCGCTGCGGCGCCGACGACGGAGATGACGATGCCGGCGATCTTGAGCGCGGCCTCATCGGGTCCGATCTTGCAGGTCCAGGGGTCCTCGGTGTTGTTGACGATGGAGAGGTAGGAGCCCATGGTGGAGTTGCTGGCTGCTGCTGATTGGAGTGCGTGCCTGTGCGTGTTGCTCAGGAGGAGGCAGATTGAGGAATGAACTGGTTGAGCATAAAAAGACTGGGTTTGAAAGCGATCGAGTTTCAGGCACGTAGAGCGCTAGTGCGTGTTTGCTCGTTGGCGTTTGGCCAGCGAAAAAGCCGAATAGGTTCACCGTCTCTAGGGTGAAGCACCCGCAGGAGTCAACACGAATGGGATTCCTCACAGTCAGTGGACGAGTCTCTCGCTGTGACCCACAGGCGCAGGAAGTGAGCTTGCAGGTGCCAGTGGATTCAATTGCAAGATTTGCAACTGCTCGGCTTCAACAATGGATGTTGAAGCGGTTCATGGGTTTTCGGTGGTCGCGCTGAGCCGGATCGCGCTCAACAATCTGAGAAAGTGGTCAAGTAAATTGCACATCTGCAATGCGTAGTTGATAGCGAGCTCGTGTGCGGACAAGATGAATGAAAGATGATCAGAGTGTGAATCGAACGGTAAGTCAAGTGGGGGCTAGCCAGCTTGTTCTTGCCTCGTGATTGGACCCACTTTTCGGTGTTCGTTCTTGGGCCACAAACTCCGTTTAACAATCAAGCGCCTCAACCTATTTGCACTCCGTTGGGATAACCACGTCTCGATGACCGTTCAGGATAAGCGGGGATAAGCGCCGAGCGTGTCCTTGCCGAACCAGGGAAGTATCTACAGTCAAAACTGACGATCATGCAGCAGCTGAACGCAAGCCAGGTGTAGCTCAGATCAGAGAAGTCAAATGACCATTTCGACGGATACGATGAGCGCTAATCATGGAACCATGTAAGGATTCAGGCTCCGCTGCCACTAGCAGCTACTGCACCGGAGCAATATAGGGTGACACTCAGCTAATTACTTGATTGACGAACGGTATTTGTGGACACCTGCTACTTTGCGTTGTGCCATCCACCGATGCCGTCGGAAATTATTATGCTCGTGCCATCAGCTTGCCATGCAGGTGCACCCCTGCGGTGAATATCACGTAGCCACTAAAGTACTACCTACTGCAAAACACCCCGCAAGCATCAAACACCGTGGATCAACGTGCCAGATTCCTCCAAACTCGATGCTAAACCCGCGACTTTGCAGGCAGCTCACCTCTGACTGAGCTCAGCGCGACCACCGAAAACCCATGAACCGCTTCAACATCCATTGTTGAAGCCGAGCAGCTGCAAATCTTGCAATTGAATCCACTGGCACCTGCAAGCTCACTTCCTGCGCCTGTGGGTCACAGCGAGAGACTCGTCCACTGACTGCGAGGAATCCCATTCGTGTTGACTCCTGCGGGTGCTTCACCCTAGAGACGGTGAACCTATTCGGCTTTTTCGCTGGCCAAACGCCAACGAGCAAACACGCACTAGCGCTCTACGTGCCTGAAACTCGATCGCTTTCAAACCCAGTCGTTTTATGCTCAACCAGTTCATTCCTCAATCTGCCTCCTCCTGAGCAACACGCACAGGCACGCACTCCAATCAGCAGCAGCCAGCAACTCCACCATGGGCTCCTACCTCTCCATCGTCAACAACACCGAGGACCCCTGGACCTGCAAGATCGGACCCGATGAGGCCGCGCTCAAGATCGCCGGCATCGTCATCTCCGTCGTCGGCGCCGCAGCGACCGTCATCGGAACGGCCGGAGCAGCTGCGCCCGTCGCGTCAGCCCTCGCTGCCAACGGAATCGTGTCCGTCTTCGGGGTGTCCACAAGCGCCCTAGCAACGGCAGCCGCTGCTGCTGCCGGCACTGTCGGCACCGTGGCCTCCGTCACTGGCGCCGTCTCCGGCTTCGGCATCGCCGTCGCCCAGGGCATCAACGACAACCTCATCAGCGAAGGATATGTCAGCATCGCGCCCGGCGACAAGCACCAGTGGGGCAAGATGAGCCTCTCGCTCTGGCAGCAGGGAACCTGCGTGCGCACCACCATCGTGGACGAGAGCACCGTCACCACCGACACGCTCTACATGCGCCCCATCTTTAGCGGCGCCACCGACAACTCCAACATCGACCACGAGATCCAGTTCTGGATCGACAAGTTCGGGCTCGAGACGGAGACCGTCACCGGCACGACCGACCAGCAGCAGCGGCGAGTGCGCCACCTGCGCAAGAACGGCGGCAGCGACGACGGACAGATCGTCTACTTCTACGCCAACGGCACCAACACGTACGACCCGAACTATGACAACTAGGATGTCAGTGGGCAGAGGTGGCGAAGTACCGCCACTTGAGTAGATCTCAGCTCACCCCAAGTTTCATGTTTGACTAGCAAATCTCAAAAACAACGATACATGCAAGTTATCGCACTCGGCCGATACCGTCAATGCCTGTCCTTGGTCACGAGACGATGGTGGTGCTACTGGATCAGTCCCAGCTCTCGAATCATCTTGTACTGCTCTGTAATGCATGACAACAAATTAAAAGTCAATATCGTCGATACATCGACCCACGCGAATGCAAAATAGTGCCAAACCGTTACCAGGGATCTCCATCAGAGCCATGATGGCGAAACCCGCCTCAGGGTTCTTCTTGTTGAGCTGCATCACGGCGTTGTATTCGACAAACTGGAAGTTGTCAAACCGGCGGGCCGGCAGCTTGACATCGAACTCCTTCATCATATCCCAGGGTCCGTCGCCAACACCGACCATAATAATGGCTACAAAGCAGAAACCACACAGCCATTATTGACTCCTTCCATCGTAAGCAGCAACCTCGGGATAACACTTACAAATGGGCCAGTTGGACGCCTCAACAATCGACTCGCGAGTGGCCTCCTCGTTTGTCACTTGACCATCAGCGATAATCACCAAGATGTGGTAGCCGCCATTCTGTTGAACAGCTCTGATCGTTTCCTTGATCACCGGTGCGAAGTTGGTCGGCCCAGACAGCTTCAACGTCGGCGTCATCACTAAAATTAACGTTCAATTCGGATATGATAAAACGTTATTTTTGACTGTGGCAATCTACTTGCAAATTGATGGATTCACCTACTTAGACTTTTACAAAAAGGCTTCAATCTACTTGAAACTTAATTCCTCGCGCGTATGTCATCTCCTGCATGATTTAGCACATCCAGCATGGATTAGCATCCTTTTGGCACTTTCCGAAAGTGCCATTTCCGAGCCAAGCTGGCTTCGAAACACGACTTCAAAGCCACTATGATTTACCACTAAGTACGAACACTATCTAGTGCACTAATTAGGAGGGAAAACCGGTTGCAAAGCACAATATCATAGAGCACATATATATCATAGAGCACACTTTCGATTATCCAATGAAAGCCATATAATTCACACTTGAAATAAGACATTCAATCTCGGAGCCTGATAGCCGCGCTCGTTGCGTTACGCCATTTTGAATGGCGCGAACAGGTAGAACGCGCTTAAAAAGTGAAGGTGACGCGCGGCCAAAGCAGTACGAGCGCTCGTTGCGATTACTTAAGTACGTACGAGTTCAAGCTGTGTGTGCTTCGATTCCTAGACACTGCACCGATGGCAAAAACGGTAGCTAACGGAAAACGCCAATTTGTATACCGCATACTATTGAATTGAACACTTGTCAAATCTAGAAAGATATACAAATAGGAAGGGGGTTATACTACCAAAGTAGCTCCGACGCATTCAAGTCTGAAATATTGTGTGTAGAGCTAGCTACGTTCTGCAAAACCTCTTTGATGGCATCCTGCCAACGTATGTACCAGTCTTCAAACCATGGAGACATCCATAGATTGCGCAGAGTTGGTTCACAACGTCTCTCATGCCGTTAGATGCAAGCAGAACTTAGACCAACAACCAAAACCATTTTTCTTTGGGTACCTTACGGTAATTTTGCGTAAAGTTACACAAAATGCAAACAGTACCGAATACAAGTGTCAGTTTTTAAACTGTGGTCTTTAAAAAGATAAAAAATAACCGGATCTTGCTTGCCGTATTTGACAAAGTAATACTTACACGGAAAATAAAGGGTGATTTTCAATTTTAAGACATCTCTTAGCCAATCAAAAGGTGTTTACATGCTAAACTTCACATAAATTTCAAGAAAATTATAAGTACTCAACGTTCTATACGGTTTGGTTGAGGTATACAAATTGGCGTAGGTACAATAGCTTTGTATACTGAGCACATTCTATCAGATTTGAGAGGAGGTATTCAATTCGGGAAGGGTACGCTATTTGGCGCTATCCGTTAAGTATTTTCCTGACGGGAAGGTGATTCCCTTCATTTCATTTTCATCCGGGCTTCAGGAACAAACTTTGCCAGGAGGTCTTTCACCGTCTTGGCCGCGATAGTTTCCGCCAGATCGAAGGTCACTCCAGGAATCTCGTACACGTCCATGATCTTCGTGAATATTAACCCTATCGTTAACGCCATACATTTCTGTTTGAAGGGACACCATACAAACTTTAAGTAAAACGGGGCAAAATGATGCATGAGGTATCATTTTGCTGTATTAGGTTTGCGAGGCCAACTGATCAAAAGTATACGTGATGGGAGGTTTGAAGCGACCTTTCCATCAAAAAGATACGTGAGGCATCATTTTACTGCTTCTCTGTGATTCGCTGCGAATCGACAAAAGTATCAGTGGAAGCAGTACCGTGAGAACAGCACCCTAACAAAACTTTAGTAAGAGCAGTACCGTGGATCACAGCGCCATCTTGTGGATTATGTGGGGCTTTTCCTAGTTGTGAAGCGGCGGCGCCGTGGTCTCCGATGCGACGCTGGCGACTATGGCGGCTGTCCTGGACCTGGCCGGAGCGTCTCCGACGGCGGCGACAAGCACGCGATGACTGCGGGCATCTCGGGCAGCAAGCACAACAGCGGCCGCAGCGCCGCCGTGTGTGCCGTCAACAGCATGGTCTCGGAGGCTTCCGCGGCGACCGTGGCCGTGTTGGATGTGATCGGGGGCGTCTCCGCTGGCATGGTCACGAACGCGACGGTGGCATTCGGCTCGGGCAGCGAGCGCAACGACAGCGGCAGTCCGCACGCAGGTTGCCGCCGGTAGTAGCGTCAGCGGCGTCGCAAGCGACATCGACAGCAGGTTTTTAGGCGTGATGGAGGTGACTCTGACCTTGGTGGATGTGGGCGGAATGGGTATACGTGCTGGAGCAAAGGATCACTGTATTCAGACAGCTTTGGGTTTCGTTAGAATTATCAATTCACACTAGATGAAACATTACTTGAGATATTACATTCAACTTAATTGCATATAGCTCTGTTACTAGGGGGAGGACATAGTAACTTCAGTAACGTGTTTTCACCTTGGAGCGTCCTGCTCTGCGAATCAACTGGATATCACCCATGATAGCGGGGAGGCCAAAACCAGCGCGGCCTTAGAGCTTGTGGTGCCAAGTCGAGAGGTTGCTCTTGAAGCCATTGGGGCGAGCGGTGGTATGCGCGCTTCTCGCAAGAGCATGTCCAGTGAGCTTGATCCTTGAGTTGGTCCGCCAGCATATCGACTCTGTCCATACCTGTGGCTAGATCGGCAACTATGTTGTAGCGTTTCTGCAAGTCAAGGCCTTCCTTATAATGGTTCATGAGGGTGTCGTGTGGTGTGGAAGGGTCCGCCTCCATCGCGATAAAGCGCTCGATATGTTCGTCTTGCTCCTCGCGATACCGCAACAAGTTGGAGTTTATACATTTTAGACGTGCCCGAATTTGCGGTCGCGTGATCTACATTTTCATATCGAAATCAAACATAGATATCATTACCCGTAACCAGCCACGATACACATTTTGGCTTACCTCAGACAGCTCCATGCACGGCTCCTGCCAACGCATCATCCAGATAAAGTTGTGCGCACGGTCATCTTCACCGCGACAAATCGCCACGTAGAGGTCGTTCATCTCTTTCACTGGCAGTGCAATTATGAAGTCGTCTATGTCGATCGACGTGCCACATCTCGCTTCGGTTCTCTACAGGTAGGCACTGATTAGCTTTAGCCAAACGTTATTGCGTAGCTACACGAACTTACCCGCTCTCGCCCAGAAGGGGTCACAAATACTGGATACAGATTGTCGAACTCCAGTTGCTCACCGGCGCTACACAAAACCAAAGACTATATATGCGATGAGCATCAGCACGGCCGAAACAATGTCATCACTACCATTTCAAGCGTCTTGGACGATCCGTAAATTCGCCTTCCATCGCTTGCATGCGTCTTCGTTGGTCCTGGCAACTACCCATACATAGCCGTTCGTATTAGCACTAGCATAACAACACGATGCCGAAACAGCCAAAACACGTACCTCTACATTATCCGCGTCCTTCCTGCGATCAACCATCTTTCCACTTGAGCGCAGAATCTAGAATGATGAAGTACTAGAAATCAGCGTTGTTGGGTGGATATGATGGACCGAATATATTGTTATTTGTATGGCCATGTTCGAAGTGTTCAAAGGGACCGAACGTACTAGGCTTTGTATGGGGTGGTTCGACTCATCGTTGTATGTGATGTTAGTATGGTGGAGTTTGAACCCACCGGTGCAGGTTCAATGCCCGCCATGCGGAATGCAGCGTAGCTGTGCTGATAAGGTACCGTGCAAAATGCATCGGATATCGAGTGCGGGATGAATACAGTGTAATTACACAGAGTCATGAATAGTACGAGTACTCAAAGCGTTCAACGGTAACATACGGTACTTAGATTTACTCCAGTATTGCTACCAAATGTAAGTGCTGTAGCGGCTTCGGCATCGTCTCCACAGTTACGTTGACCCATGCAAGCCCCATAGTGACGGTCCGAACTACGGTACACGGCGACAGTGGTGACGCCCATCGTAGATACACTGCTGCCAAGTGCCAATGCCGCCTGCGTGTCCCTGTCGCTGGGCAAATTGGGCGCTTGCGACGTCGTCGTCATGGCGACTTCAGGCTCCATCTTGACCCCCGATGGGACTCGAACGCTCCATTTCTAGCGGTAGCCTCTCTTGATCTTTGTCGCCGGTGGCACCCCGCTCCCTCCTGAGACATCTACGTGCGGTTGTCCGTCGATGAGGATCGCTGGAAGCGAAAAAGGGCGGGAGAACGCCGTCCACCTGCAGGTCTAGTGGGCAGTCGTCCAGTGCCGCCTCCGACGCTCCATCTCGGGGTCCTGTAGCGGAATCTCGGCGTCTCGCAGCTGAACGTGGTTGACAGCCACACCCGGCGGCAATGCCGTGAGGAGAGTTGGGGGCTACGGGACAAACGACACCATCCCAGCGCCAGTTCTAGTAGCACTGCGTTATCGACAACAAATGCGCTGTTGCGGCGGTTGTGCGGGACGTGGTCGTCGGGTGGGTACACGACGGACAGCGAGTCCAACTTCATGCCCGGTGCGTCCCGAGGTCAGCGCGTCAAGTAGCACAGGCGGTCGGCAGCAGCAGATGCGTCGACACACAGGAGCTGAGCGTGTGGCGACTCCAACGACGCTGGACTTGGAGAGTGAGGGGCGAACTGGCAGGCTGGACTTGACCGCAGCGTGCATAGTATCACGGGCAGCCACGCGCCGTAAACGATGGGTACGGCCAGCACATGTGTACCACCGTCGTTCGAGGCGTGGAAACCGGAATAACGGAGCGTGGTCAGCCAGGGACACTTGGGATCGAGCTTGCAAAATCGGAAATGAGCTCCGATGCGAGAAGGTCATTTTGATTCGGAGCAAGCCGATCAAGCCGACCAAACAACAGTGGATCGATTTGAACTAATTCCACCAATCACACTTCTTGTTGAACTTTGGCAGCCAATCACTGTCATCGATTTTTCGGAGACAGGTTTTGATTGGTCAAAGCGAAGACATGGAAAAAAATGTCAGCGCGGGAAAGCTTGAAAAGATCAACCAAAGCAAAATGGGCACCAAAAAGGCGAGCCTTTACATGTTGTGTAAACCACTTCAAATACCAATAGTCTATTTATGTGACATTATGTATCGCGACCGCTCTACCCGTTCTCCCTCGCCGAAACGCCCTACCATCGGCATTCCCCCAATCATGGTCTTGATGGACCTGGTCGGAAACGTCTCCGCCGTCGGCGACACGGATGCGATGGTGGCGGGCGACTCGGGCAGCAAGCACAACGGCGGCCGCAGCGCCGCCGTGTGTGCCGTCAACAGCATGGTCTCGGAGGCTTCCGCGGCGACCGTGGCCGTGTTGGATGTGATCGGGGGCGTCTCCGCTGGCATGGTCACGAACGTGACGGTGGTATTCGGCGCGGTCGATGAGGCTAATAGGGGTGCTTTCGTGTTGGCTGGGCAGCGCCACGAGAGCGTTTATAGCAGCGGCATCGATAGCCGGGCTTAGTTGCCTTGCTGGCGGTAGGAGCGTCTTGAACCTGGTGTTGAGTACATTGATGGGGATGGGACCTTTGTGAAAGGTCGGTAGGTTATCAGGCGAAGAAGTATGAGACCAAATATCTTATGGTATGTGTGGCATTATAGATTTCTAGATCTCGTGGCAACCCGATGGCAGACTTCTCGGACGAAGAGGACTTGCTGCGTTATCGGCTGGCAAAGGAGCAGGTTGATGCAGACCGCCGAATTAACTGGCGGACTGTCTGGTTGGGGATGCCATACTGCGGGAAGACACAGCGACAGCTGCAGATTCGTCTAAAGACGCTGAAGAGGACACACGGCGTGAGCTTAGATTCTTTCCCAAGGAGATTTCGGGATCAAAAATCGGCACGGACGCGCTTAGTGGTGGCCACAAGGTGAGCGCTCCCGATAATGTTGGCAACGTTCATGACGCTGTGTCAAGTTTGCATGCCTCGGCCTTGCGTCAACCCGTCCATGCGCCGGATTGTCATGCTGGTGAGATTTCGCCAACTGGGGTTTCAGCAATACTGGCAGTCATTCCAACGCTTACAATCGCGAAACTTTTGTTGACTTTGGATCTGGGATCGGCAACGTGGTTGCACAAGTGGCATTGGAGACTTGTGTTGGGAGATGCATCGGGATTGAGTTCCAGGACAACTTGGCAAACATGTCAAAACTGCTGATTCGTGGCGCACGCGTGGATTTCCCGAATTTATCCAAGGTCACGATTCACGAGGCCGACCTCAGAGCGATGAGCCCAGCCGTACGCGAGGATTTTGACGGGGGCAGTGTTTTATTTGCGAACAATATCGTTTTCGAGCCTACAAGTTTTGCGGCGCTGGAGGACTTTGCATCTTCAGCAGCAGGTTTGGTCGACGTCGTTGTCATGGCAACAATTTGCGGCCGGCACCGCCCAACCTGCCCGCGCAACTTCTGTTCTGTCTGGACGCCCCGACAGCGTATCGACGTTCAAGTGTCTTGGTCTTCCCAGCTTCATCACGCATACTGGTACACCAGGGTTGTAGAGCCCTACATCTAAGTACCTCGCGCAGAATGGAAAGGGACATTCAATATACTTCGTTTGTCAGACATGTTCATCCCACTGTTCATTACCTGTAGAGCCAATAACATATATCAGCCATTGTACACATCTACATCACGGACATCGTAGCTCTGACCGCATCCCCCAAGGTCAGTATCACCTCCATCACGCCTAAAAACCTGCTGTCGATGTCGCTGGCGACGCCGCTGACGCTACTACCGGCGGCAACCTGCGTGCGGACTGCCGCTGTCGTTGCGCTCGCTGCCCGAGCCGAATGCCACCTTCACGTTCGTGGCCATGCTAGCGGAGACGCCCCCGATCACATCCAACACGGCCACGGTCGCCGCGGAAGCCTCCGAGACCATGCTGTTGACGGCACACACGGCGGCGCTGCGGCCGCCGTTGTGCTTGCTGCCCGAGTCGCCCGCCACCATCGCATCCGTGTCGCCGACGGCGGAGACGTTTCCGACCAGGTCCATCAAGACCATGATTGGGGGAATGCCGATGGTAGGGCGTTTCGGCGAGGGAGAACGGGTAGAGCGGTCGCGATACATAATGTCACATAAATAGACTATTGGTATTTGAAGTGGTTTACACAACATGTAAAGGCTCGCCTTTTTGGTGCCCATTTTGCTTTGGTTGATCTTTTCAAGCTTTCCCGCGCTGACATTTTTTTCCATGTCTTCGCTTTGACCAATCAAAACCTGTCTCCGAAAAATCGATGACAGTGATTGGCTGCCAAAGTTCAACAAGAAGTGTGATTGGTGGAATTAGTTCAAATCGATCCACTGTTGTTTGGTCGGCTTGCTCGGCTTGCTCCGAATCAAAATGACCTTCTCGAATCGGAGCTCATTTCCGATTTTGCAAGCTCGATCCCAAGTGTCCCTGGCTGACCACGCTCCGTTCTTCCGGTTTCCACGCCTCGAACGACGGTGGTACACATGTGCTGGCCGTACCCATCGTTTACGGCGCGTGGCTGCCCGTGATACTATGCACGCTGCGGTCAAGTCCAGCCTGCCAGTTCGCCCCTCACTCTCCAAGTCCAGCGTCGTTGGAGTCGCCACACGCTCAGCTCCTGTGTGTCGACGCATCTGCTGCTGCCGACCGCCTGTGCTACTTGACGCGCTGACTTCGGGACGCACCGGGCATGAAGTTGGACTCGCTGTCCGTCGTGTACCCACCCGACGACCACGTCCCGCACAACCGCCGCAACAGCGCATTTGTTGTCGATAACGCAGTGCTACTAGAACTGGCGCTGGGATGGTGTCGTTTGTCCCGTAGCCCCCAACTCTCCTCACGGCATTGCCGCCGGGTGTGGCTGTCAACCACGTTCAGCTGCGAGACGCCGAGATTCCGCTACAGGACCCCGAGATGGAGCGTCGGAGGCGGCACTGGACGACTGCCCACTAGACCTGCAGGTGGACGGCGTTCTCCCGCCCTTTTTCGCTTCCAGCGATCCTCATCGACGGACAACCGCACGTAGATGTCTCAGGAGGGAGCGGGGTGCCACCGGCGACAAAGATCAAGAGAGGCTACCGCTAGAAATGGAGCGTTCG